CCGGAAGGGTTTTCCGGTGAAGAGCCTCCGATGCTTAAGTCAGTATATGTTTGTTCAATTTTCCAAAGTAAAGAATGGATAAATCGTAAGTCACAAGAAAAGACCCACTCCCATATATATAGGAGTGAGATACCTGCCCTAGAAGCTGCCCGGATTTTTGTGAGCTGTCCTACCCGCGCTGCCCGTCCGTACACACACAGTGTGTGTGTTGTCAGAGATGTCAGAGGTGGCTGTTGCCACTATCGCTCTGCACCAATGTATCTTCGCCACGTGTCCCTCTGAGCTTGAGGGAAATTATTCTTCTGCGCAAGCCGTTGGGATCCCCTAACGTCACCCACGCGCATACTCGCGTCTAGGCCACGCTCCCGATTGCTTTCTACTCGCTGGGTGCTCGATCTGATCGAGTTCCCCCTTGCTAGATCGATCCTCGACCAACTCTGCTATTCTGCTCGATCTCTTCCATTTTGGTCGATCCTCCCTCTATCAATGTGGTTTTCTTCACCTCATGCTTGTCCGATCGATGCGATGGACCGGTCGGGCCGGTCTGCTCCTCGGTCATATAATATTCCATATCAGTCGTATATTAAAAAATCATTTAATCAAGATGATTAGTTTAAAATCTTTTGATTTATCAGTAACTCAGCTGATTTAGTTTTAAAAATTATTAAAGTAATTTTATACAGTATCAAAAGAAATTTAACTATTTTATCTTTGATACCAAACAATCTTTGGGCGTGTTTGTATACAAATATATCTGCTCAAAATGAGTTTTTTTTGTTAACCAAAGTTAAATTTGAAAAAATTGGCCTTATTAGTTGTTAGTGGAATTTTGATTATATATTAAAATTTAAATAAAATAATTAAAGTTAATTTGATGTAAAAGTAGAAGAGAGTGGTTGTGAAGTGATAGTTAGTTAAAATTATGTGAGTGGATGAATAGTAAATTAAAATTAATATGATGTGTAAGAATGATTGGTTGATATTATTTAATTTATATTTTTAATAATATCGTATATAGTGGAGTTGGGTTAAAATTGAGTTAAACCGAAATATGCGTAAAAACATTGCAAAGTATCAGTACAAAGTACATTTAGAAATCAAATGCAAAAATTTTATTGATATAACTACCACAATATAACAATAGAATTGGTATCTCAACATTAACAACAAATCCCTCCAATTTTCTAATCAATGAATTTTCTACTCAATTGGTAACAAGTCATATATAAAAAAAATTATATATTCAAGAAGTTCAAAAATAACTTTGATATTATCAATAACTATACTGAACTAGTTTTTAAAAAATTCATATTGCGATTCACAATATCATCACATATTTCATATAAACTAATAGATTTGAAAGAAAATTGAAAAAATTTATAATAAAAATTATTATAAATTATAAGAAAAAATAAAATAATATTGACTTAAATAAACATTAATATTTTTTAATTACAAATTAATATATATTACAATCTTTTTCAATTAAATGTTGGTTATAATATTTGCCACAATTTTTCTATTTTAGCGTAACTTATTTAGAAATCAACATAATATATTGTAATAAGGTAGTCAAGGAAGACAGAGATAGAAATATAATGTTCTATTATTTATTGATAATATTTGAATATGTTAAATTTTCAGTATCCTTAATTATAAACAGAACTCTAAAATGAGAACTATTTTATAACGAGTGAAATAAACATAAAACTCATATATTAAATTATTATATATCATAAAATAGAAAAATAATATCTTCATTCAAAAATATTTATATAGTATTCAATATTGCTTCATTACTTTAATACTTAAAATTTATAATTATTGCTCTGTGCATCGCATGGGATACGTACTAGTATAACGATATCTAGTTCTATAAATTTAATTTCTTTTACTAGTTGTATTACTTAAAATAGTATGATTTTTCTGCAAAAGAATAATTATTTATTAACTAAGTAGATTTTTTTAAACATTTTTTCTAACTATTTTTTGTGGTTACTTCTTTACTATATGTAAAGTAAATAATCGATCTAAATCTATGATTAATTTTTTTTCAAAAAATAATTAATTATTATGGCTCTACCTAATCTATTTTTATTTTTTGTGATGTGATATCAATAATTTGATACTAAATCTTAAAAAAGAATTAATCAATTCTTCTATTTCTATATCATATAAAATTATGTTTAATTTAAAAAATATAAATTAACAGAAATGGTTATAGATTAATCACTCCAAAAATTATAATCACTCGAGACTTAACATTTTACAAACTACTTTATGTCCTATTAATCGACAATTGATTATCACAAAAAATTATCACAGATGAGACAATATATTCCGACAAGAACATCATTTAAAAAAATTTCTAAATCATTTAGCTTTTTCCATGGCCTTGTCCAAATTTATATACTCGGAATCCATTGTGAACCTTATTAATTTACTCGCTAAAATGCAACCACCAGAGGGAATAATATTCGAAATGTACCTCATTCCTCCAATTATTTAGCATATTCTAACCGAGAAACTAACTATTCCCGATTTTTAGCTAAGTGTACAGACAAGTCAACATACGTCTAAGTCGGAGCTTTTATCGAACATATCGATCAATTTTGACAAAATAATTCTTTTATGATCCTTTAAGAACTTAATATAAAAAAATTGCATTGAACTTTTCACAAATCTTTCATGTCAAAGTTTATCTTCTTGATAAAAAAAAATAAAATAAAAAGTTTATCATAATTGTTTATCTTCTTGATATTTATGAAAAAAAAAAGTTTATCTTCTTGATATTTATGAAAATATCATGATTGTTTTCAAGATAAACATGTTATAGCGGGTGGAACTTTAATGTAGACACATACTGCCATTCATTCGACAAAATATTTTTACCAAACTTTTCAAGACATTACCTTAGGTATTTCTATTTTGTCCCAAATACCCCCCATATTTCAAGGTATATATACAATAGCTTTTGCTCTTTTATCTCAAACAAAGTTTTGTTTCTACCTTTTATGTGGTTTTTTTCACATGAATGCAATTATTGCTATTGGTGTATGTTGATAACAATGTCATCAACTATTTCCAGGTTACTTTTGTGCATTTTGATTACTCGGTCACTGGAAAAAGACAATCCAAGTTTAGGAAAGAGACTGGAAATTAAACAGAAAAAAAAAACAATTAAATTGGTTCTCAGCCAATAATAAAGAAAACCAATCAAGATTCAGCAGGCCTGTCTAATTCAATACATTCACCCAATATGGAGGATGTATGTTGCCAAAAGGGAACCAACAATGAATTAAACAGAAAAGTTTGGGTTGGTGGATAATACCTTCTCTCTCGAAATCTGCATCTCGCCCACTCTTCTTCCTTCCGTCCGACCTGCTTCTCTCGCGCACTATCACTATGGACCTCTCTCTCGCCGTCAATTCAGGTAAGGATAGGGTTCAATTGTTTTTTGGTTTTTTTAATTAATTTCTATGTGTTTGGGCCTGTGATATTCGTGGAACAAGATTTTGATTGTGTTATGTGAATTCATCTGATTTTGCTAATTTTGTGTGTGCATAAAGGTCTTGAGAAACTCATTATGTGGCTGAGTATAGTATTCAAATAGTTCCTTCATCATTGATTTCTTTGTAGAGTATCCCTTTGTGCTTTGTTTGGTACTTAATTGTCCAGGTGAATATGGCTTTGTTATTTTTTTGCAACTCTGATGTTGTTGGCTATTGCACTCATCAAAAACTCATAGATCAAATACACTTTAGGTCGTATTTTGTAAGTAAACTAGCATTGTATTGCAAATGTATCGAACTCCTCAATTATAGTATCGTAATATTTATAACGAAACTCATTTTTTGAGATAACGATACTTGATTCGTTTTAGAAATTGATAGAATCCATTAAAAATGACTTAAATTGTAACTATAATGAGTAAAATATCGTTATAATGTATTACATAGTGAAGGTATAGGTGTATTTAATCGACCGGGATGGAAATATAACCATAACGAATGTACATTCGTTATGAATGTACTAATTTATTAGAGGTTATGATTTATCCCTATGGACTCAATTTCTTAATGTGTTTGACATTTGTGACACAATATCAGTTCAAGATTCTTTAAATGAGTTGTCATTCTGTATCAAAAGTTTCTTGTTCTTATTTATTGATATTTTCACTTAAACCATTTTTTCAACCATTTTATTTTTATCATATAATCTAATTAGTTCCAACTATTTTTTAACAAATTCTGAGTTTCATATTCTTAAAAAAGTCCTCTTTCAGTAGGCTGTGGAATATTGTTCAGTACAAGTTTATAAAATATATGTAACCAGATAGTTTAGTCAAATCTCAACCTCTTTGATTTTTTTTTTCATTTTTTATTTTTTTACATTCAAAAAATAGGTACAGGAAATAAGATGAAATTTTATCTGACTTAAAACATTGTTTCTTTCCCATTCTATACCAGAAATGCAGCACAGTACAAAAACTTGTAAAATGGTGCTTGTTTTTCTCTATGTGTACACTATGCATTCACATTCAACTTCCTAACTGTGGCTTGAGAAGTTTTTCGCGATTTTCGGGTATAGCTAACAATGGCCAAACTATATGTCTATACACCTTTCATGTGTTCTGGTAATTTAAATATCCTCTGTTTGTGTTATGATGATCACCAATGAAAAATGCAGTGCATAGCAGAGAAGAGAATATGAATTTCCATTCACATCTATAATACCTTTCTCGTGAGTTTATCACATAAACACGAGAAGCAACTGAAGAATCTTTATAAATCAAGGACTAAAAAAACAATTATATTATACTTCATTTAAAGTACTCTGTTGAAAAACATAACGAATGTGCGTGTGATTGATGTAACGAATGTTGTACTTCTTAATTTCAAAATATAACGAATGGTGTACTTCTGAATTTCTTAATAATGTGCAATTACTAATTTATAATTTCTTAATATTTTCTTTCTTATCTTCTTTTAGGAACGGAAATGGAGTTAGCGTTCGAGATACCTTCGACATGCTCAGGAGTCGTGACCAATAGGTGCGAACTCAAGGTTGCCGATCATGTATTTAATAATCTAGATGATGTACATAAAGGTCTATTTGTGAAATCATGCTTCCGGACACTAGAGCACATTCCCAATTTGAAATTGGCGTCTCAAATAATCCACCACCTTCTTCAAAGGACCTTGAAATCATCCGAGAACGAAAAAGACGCCGTGTGGTTCAAATTTGGAGAAAAAGAAGCTAGATTCGGGTTACAAGAATTTTCTCTTGTAAGCGGATTCAAGATTGTGCATGATGTGGCTTCGTACGAGGTCCCGGAAAGAAGTAGTTCGCTTTTGCATTTATTCAAAGGGAAGCGAGGGAAGCTAACAAAGAAAGACTTGCTCAATAAATTTGATGATTTGGTAAAGAAGGAGGAAGATGCAGATTTGATATACAAATTGGGGCTTCTCACGGTCCTGGAGCATGTGGTTTTGTCTAACGAGTGTCGGACTCTTGTGGATGAAAAATGGTTTCATCTCGTTGAAAATTTGGAGGAGTTCAATAGCTATCCTTGGGGGAACTTGTCATACGAGTACACCGTAAAGTTGTTCAAGCGGAAGAGGTTTGATATTAAAAAAAAATACAGAGATGAAGTATTCTTTGCATGGATTTCCCCTAGCTATCATGGTATTTTTCATATAAATATATATTTATGCTCTTTTTTATTTATTTATGTTAGTTGTATTCTTAATTTATTTTTTGGTTGTTTGCTAAATAGGTTTGGGCATTTGAGGCACTGCCTGAGGTTGGAAGAAAATTTGCTGAAACTTGTGGTGGGGGTGCCAGACTTCCGAGAATTTTGGCTTGGAAAATGAAAAAACAGTGGCGAAGTGAGCAACTTAGTACGTTTTTCAACACGTCGGAGGTAATTTTTATTATGGATAATTCATCTTATTTATTCTTATAGGTTGAAGTTCGACGAACATTACAACCTTCAAGGGATGAAGTTAAAACTTCATACTTGAAGGAATTTCGTATTGTCCCTGAAGATGAGGAAGAAGAAGAAGAAGAAGAAGAAAATGAGGATAAGGATGATGAGGAAGACGAGGAAGAGGAAGAAGAAAAAAATGATGCATCTCAGTCTGATCCACCACAACCGCAAGTTTTTGGTGCTGAAAAGCTTTCAGCTATAGTCAGGGAGGTTGTGAAGGATGAGATGAGATTATTTTCTGAGTAAATGGAAATGAGGATGGACAAGTTTTCTGAGCGAATGGACATGAAGATGGACAAGTTTTTTGAGCGCATAAAAGATTTAGTTTTTCAATCAAAAGATAGTCCATCTACCCTTGCTACTTATGACGGGATAAATGTTGATACGGAGACCGCTCGAACAGTAGATGGTGTTGAAGGTATTCTTTTAAAATAGATGCATCATATTACTGTTATTACTGGAGTATTAAAAAAATAAATAGAACAAGCTATTGTAATATTTTTTTTACATAAAGATATATTTTAAAACAAATTCACCATATTGTTGAATTACATAATTTTTTTCTTTCTTTTGCAGACACGATCAATTCACCATCTCCCATGCCCGAGAAAGAAAGGTGGGAGTTCATGATGACGTGGGCTTGGAAATGAGGGTAAAAGAAAAAGTTGTCTTGGTCGAAGACAAATTTTCTGAGGAGGTTGTCTCACCAAAGAAGAATGAACATGGATTCGATACCGGTATGTAAAATGTAATTGTAATTATACGTAATTTGATAGTGTATTATTTCTAATAAATGAGTATTGATTGGTTTCTTGCCTATTGTAGGTGTTGTGACCGACCCGTCATCAAAGATATTCCAAGAACTACCTATGGAGATCGAGGAAACCGATGAAGATGATGCACCCGAGTCTCCTAAGGGAAGAGGCCACCGGAAGAAAAGAAAGGCCACCGTCCTACTTACTCCGTGGAGGAATCCCGGAAAAAGACAAAAAATTCCAAATGTCATGGAGTACGATCCTCATAGGACACTGGATGAAGCTAAACTTGAGGATTTAAGGCGGTGGTTGGCGAACTCCCCTGAAAGGTATGTATTTGTGTTAAGTTAATTGTGAGCTACTCATTCTAATATATAAGGTTGTATTTCTTTGTTTAATTTACTGATTTTTATGTAGTGATGAAATTGACGTAGCTTGGGGTAGCGGTAGCGCAGGGAAAAAAAATTTTAATGACCTTCTGGACGATAAATGGCTTTGTAGTGGGGTAAAGTATTTAATTTTTTTTTTCCATATTTTACTCTCTAAACATGACATTTACTAATCTAATAAACATTATATACTCTTAGCATGTAGATGCAGCTCTTTTTCACATGAGATGTCGGGCTATAGAGTACCCTCACTTGTTTAGACAAGATTGTGTCACCTTGGACCCACATTTTGTGTCTTATGCAAGAATGTTCTTTAAAGACGCGTCAAAAGTTGAAAGCTTTGATAGGACAAATTTTCCAAAGGCATTAGTTAAGTACGCCGAAGGGAAAGTACCCCCTCATGCAAAGGCGTGGACTAGTTGTACCAAATTGTTTGTTGCCTTTTGCACTGAGAATAATGAACATTGGGTAGCACTCGATATTGATCTCTCCAAAAGATGCATTGACGTATATGATAGTTCACCGAGTGTCATGCGGAAGCGACAATTTGAAACGGAATTGGAGCCCATTCGAGTTGTCGTACCTATGCTAATGAGGATGTTGAATGCTACATATAGTTCAGAAAAATTTGATTTGAAACGATTACCATGTCCTAGCCAAGCAAATGGGTATGTATAACATATATTTCATCATATATTTTTAATGAGTCTAGCAACTCCCAATCAAGTGTCCTTGGGATCCGGCATTTCATCTTCATGAGGCGTTTGTACGAGTGCACCTCATCTTGAGAGAAAACTGGGAATGGAATGCCGTGCTTTTGAGCCAAAGTTTGAGTTTCGGTGTCCGAGTTCTAGTTGCTATTGTTCGAGTCCGGTGAAGAAGGCGGGGTTCTCGTAATTGCTTTTCTTTTGCCTTCGTTGTTTCCTTTGGAGGGAGCTTTTGATGACGAAGCCTTTCCCATGATCGGTTATTGAATACTCTCGAAGGAAGTAAGTGGATGCAAGCGATATAGCCCTCTTGCCTAGTTGTGGCAATTTCTCGAACACCTTGTGTGCGCAATAATGTGTTTGAAAATTGCGAAAAAGGAAAAGAGTTAGATTCATCAAACCACAAACAATTAATTTGTAACTATACTATTCAAGCAATTTGCGAGACCTTACCGTGTGTTGAAGTCGAGAGGACGATGTTTGTCGGAATGGCTTTTGGCAATTATGGCTTACGAGAAGACAACCTTGCCAGAATATAAGTTGCCGGAAAGAGGGAGTGTCCAAACTCGGTCGGAATAAGTGGCCGGAGGTGGTGTTATCACCGGAGATTGGAGATGAAAGGAACGATTTTCTAGAGCGGAGCGGTTTTTCTTTTTTTTTTCTTTCTCTTAAGAGTTGGTTTTGAAAAATGAGGAATGCGGGGAGAGAACAGGAGGGGACGTTTATTTATAGGCTCAGCATGTCACGGACGCGACGTTTATCGCGGGCGTGACTACCGCGCTTCCAGGTCGTCGCAGGAGCGACACTATGTCGTGGCGCGACTCCAAATATGGTGCCACAAAAGCGCGCGACGCCTCGTCACGACCGCGATGCAGAGGCTGTCGCGGGCCAGTTAATTTTTTTTGTTTTTTATTACCTTTGTATAAAATCAATATAATGTTACACATTTGTTTCCATTTCGTTATGAGTATCTCCACGCAAGAACGGGTCCAAACTATTGTTCAAAGTTGATATATGACCAGGAACAATGTTTTAAACGTGATTCATTAAAAAAACCCAAAACGGGAGCACTTTCGTTGCGATTTGCACCATAACGATTGTACATTCGTGATAACAATTGTACATTCATTATGGCTCATTTTCGATCAAAAACACCAAAAACTCGATATATAATCTATCACACAGATATTACACTCTTTGTAGGTACAATTTCACTCATGTTTCATGTAAAATAATGAATTTACAAAGATTTCACATCATCTTTCCCATTTTACAAAAAGAAAAACAAAAGGACAAGTATAGTAATGAGTATTTCCATTTCGTTATGAGTATCTCCACGCAAGAACGAGTCCAAACTATTGTTCAAAGTTGATATATGACCAGGAACAATGTTTTAAACGTGATTCATTAAAAAAAACCCAAAACGGGAGCACTTTTGTTGCGATTTGCACCATAACGATTGTACATTCGTGATAACGATTGTACATTGGTTATGACTCATTTTCGATCAAAAACACCAAAAACTCGATATATAATCCATCACACAGATATTACACTCTTTGTAGGTACAATTTCACTCATGTTTCATGTAAAATAATGAATTTACAAATATTTCACATCATCTTTCCCATTTTACAAAAAGAAAAACAAAAGGACAAGTATAGTAATGAGTATTTCCATTTCGTTATGAGTATCTCCACGCAAGAAAGGGTCCAAACTATTGTTCAAAGTTGATATATGACCAGGAACAATGTTTTAAAAGTGATTCATTAAAAAAACCCAAAACGGGAGCACTTTCGTTGCGATTTACACCATAACGATTGTACATTCGTGATAATGATTGTACATTCGTTATGCTCATTTTCGATCAAAAACACCAAAAACTCGATATATAATCCATCACAGAGATATTACACTCTTTGTAGGTACAATTTCACTCATGTTTCATGTAAAATAATGAATTTACAAAGATTTCACATCATCTTTCCCATTTTACAAAAAGAAAAACAAAAGGACAAGTATAGTAATGAGTATAGAACAAGTATTAAACTTCAAACTATAGTTCCAATGACATGTAACATGAATATACAGTCGTTATCAAGTAACTAGATCAAAAAAGCCATGAAGAAAGCGCGGTTGTTGTCGAAAAAAACTATAACGAATATACACTCGTTATAACGAATGTACAGTCGTTATGGTTTTTTATCGACACAATCCACCTTAAACGAACGTGCATTCGTCATATAATACATTATAAAAATATTAAACTCGTTATAGGTCTACTTTTAGTCATTTTTAGTGTAAAATAACGAATAAACAACGATTCTACATTATATATCCGTTTTTCCAAAAATAACTAAAAAACGCCCGCGACAACCTGCCTGTCGCGCCCGGGACAGGCCATCGCGAGCTTCTGCACCTCTATATTTCGTGTCGCGGCCGCGACAGGTATCGCGCCCGCAACAGGCCCATTGGTCGCGGTCATGGGACTTGTCGCGTCCGTGACATCCTGGACAGCTGTCTGTCAAAAAAAGAAAAGCAGAGTGTCGCGCCCGCGACAACCTAGGAAGCTCTCTGCCCGACTGATATTAACTTCAGTGTCGCGCCGGTGATAACCATCGCGACCGCGATAGCGATAACGATGCTACCTTCGTTATTTCATACTTCATAACGACTGTACTGTCGTTATACTTTCTTTTTTAGCCTTTTATAATGTAGTACTACTATATAATACTATAAAACGAGACTATAGTCGTTTGTTTCCAAATTGCCTATAACAATTGTTCAATAAGTACATTAGGTGAATCAATTACCCTTAATATTTTCAACAACCACTACATTGGATACGCATAAAAAATTAAACACAAGACAAAATATAATTTCGAACTTTATCAACTCACTTTAATGAATTGGAGAACACATCAAAAACAACAAACAAAAAGTTAAAACACTATATGGCCGAGTCAAAACACTATACAAAAAGGTTAAAAAGTCAAAAGCAATACACTAATCAAAATATAATTTCAAGTTGCTTCATTGAGGTTTTTCTCTGGACACCTTCCACGATTATGCCCGACTTTGGAACACCTACTACATTTACGAATTTGGCGAGGTTTAGTAGTAGTTGATTTTCTTCGAGTCTCACCTGCCGATTTTTTCCTTTCGAATGTAGGTCTACCCCTTGGACGTCGTGATGGTGGCGGCAACACAATTCTTGACATAATTTCTTCTGGAACCATCCAATCGGTTTCATTGGGCAAAGGGTGAATAGGTTCAGAGTATGCCTCTCTCCAAGCAGAGCTCGAATACATTAAAGTGCAGAAATTGTAGCCGTTGTTATTCAATTTTTTTATTGCGGCAATGGCATGCGAACATGGAAAATGATCCATTTCAAACTTTCAACATGAGCATGACATTTGGTCGAGATCAACGACATGTCTTCCACCAACTTGCAAAATCATTGGTGTTACATGTAACACTTGTAGTCCGTTGGACTCGTCGTATCTATTCCGCATTTTCTCCTCAAATGGTGGGGTAAGAAAGCTACTGCAATTTGTAGAGGCAAGATTTCTTTCGTGGAACCACTTTTGCAGTGTTGCCCTGATATGTTCAATTAGGCCAAGGATAGGAAATTCTCGAGTACGCTTCAACACAGAGTTCAACGATTCAGTATTGTTTGTTGTCATTATGTTGAAACGAGTTGCTCTAAAATGTGCTCTAGCCCAACGGGAAAAATCAGCTTTCTCTAGGTATGTCCGCATTCCCTGATTATTATTGCATAATGCTGCCATGTTGGATTCGAAAGGTATCGTGTATGCTTCAGCTGTTGCCCAAAAGAATGCATCCAATTCCAACCTTGGAAACTCAGATTTTAAGTTTCTCAGCAAGTGATAGTTACACCATCCATGGTGTGCATGTTCAAACACTGTATTAAACGCACCAGGAATACTTGTTCCCCTATCCGAAACTATAACAAGATCGGGAGAATCACCTGTTATATCTTTCAACTTTTCAAAGAAGAAAGTCCAGGAAAGATGGTTCTCGGAGTCTACTATTGCCCAAGCAAGTGGATAAATTTGAAGATTTGCATCCTGACATGTTGCAATGAGCAAAGTACCCCGATATCTCCCGGTCAAGAATGTACCATCCACAGATATTACTCTTCTGATGGAATAGCGAAATCCACGAATGTACGGTCCCAAAGCCATGAAAAAATATTTAAAATGGCCATCCATAATGCTTTGCCATAAATGCTTTTGTATAGCTGATAGTTATCCCGAACTTCTCTTGGACATCAAAAATAATATCATTCGGTTTATAAATCTGATTGACGTCTTTATACTTTTCAGAAATGTGCTTCTCAATCAGCTTATACGTTGCATGCCTGTGATCTTTACGGCGCACACTCATAGAGCAAGTTTGATTACCAACATATTTACGTACTACAAAATTTTCACCACTTCCTATCTTCACCGCTCTCAAACGCCAAGGACAATTTCTCTCAATACAAGCAACAACATACAAAGTCTTGCTTGATTTTACCACTCTGAATTCAAAGTGGTACTTCACAGCCAACAACAAAAGTTTATCTACTAAGTCTTTTTTGGTTGAGAAGAGATTGTTACATTGCAAATCTTCACTCTCTGGGATTCTCACGGAAGATGGACAAGGGAGCGGACTCATAGAAGAGCTTGCATTCCCAACCATAGCATATTCTGTTGAATAATTCTCACACGCATCTTCTATCATCAAAGTGGTTCTTCTTTCATCATCAACTTCAAGATTTCTTTCGATAGGACTATCTCTATTCTCCACCATAGTGTCCCATTGACCTTCGAGCGGCTCGTGAGTTTCATTATCCCATGTGAGTGTTTCAATCTCGTCTGAATTGTGATTGTTCATTTCTTCTTCAACTTCAAGATTTTTTTCAATGGAACTATCTCTATTCTCCACCATCATACTGTCCCTCTGAATTTCAGTATCCCATGTAGGTGGTTCAATCACCTCTAAAGTTTGATTGTTCGTTTCTTCCTCAACAAGTTTTTCAACAAGTGTTACGCAAAGAGGATGATCCTCACAAACAGATATAAACTATTTCACTTTCTCATCAGAATCGATCTTCACGGGGGATATTGGTAATTTCATCATTCTTGGGGTAAGTGATCGCAATTCTATTACGTGTGAGATGCTATCGAACTTTATGAGTTTCAGGACCGCTTCTTCAAGCTCCAAGAAAGATATGTCGTCGCGAACATAAATAGGATTGGTATTCTCTTCATTTTCATTCACATATCTCCACGTCCAAGTGCCATCCGTACTCTTTTTAAACTCAACATAGTGGCATACTTGTATCCACACCATCTTTGCTAAAATCAATATCTACAAGAAAAGAATATATGTTACTTCAACAAGATAATTGTGGAAAAACATGTTACCAAAATAGGAGATAATATACAATGCTCTTATGCTCTAAAAAATGGAAGATAAAAAAATTAGATAAACATGGAAGATAAAAAAAATAGAGATATGTCATAACGAAATTACATTCCTTATGAAATAAACATCAAATAACGGATCAACATTGTCTATGAAATAATTAGATAACAAATATACGTTCGTTATGAGATTTTCTTCAGATAACGAATGTACATTCATTATGAAACAATATAACGACTGTACATTCGTTATGTACCAAAAAATTAAAAAAAAAAACTCAATGCCACAAAAACATGATAAATATGAAACCAACATGTTTATCAATCATAATATATGAACCAAAATGCATTATCTCTAAAATAACAATAAACCCTAACATGTTTTAATTGTTGATCTTCCACAATCACCACATTTCTTTTGCAATATGTAATCCAAAGTTTATGTGTAATGATCATATTTTGTTCTCACCTTTTCAAGAGAAAAGAGGATGGAGTGAGAGAGGAGTAGAGCGAGAGGAGCAGAGCAGGAGCAGAGCCGCGAGAGAGAGGAGAGCTTGTGGGATTCTACGATCATTTTTTTTTTTTATTACAAAGTTGGTAACATAAAATAGAAGTAGGGTATTATAGTCATTTACCATCTAAGGCTATTTTAGGTATTACAATAATTCTTTTACCTTTATTTAATGAAAGGGTTAGTTGAACAAAAAATATTTTGAAAAGGTCTTTTAAATAAAAACACCCTTTGACTAGCCCCTTTAAATAAAAGCCCCCATTGCAGCTCACTGGTAATATCCCAGAGAAACACTTCCAAATAAAGTGTTTGATCTTATCCTTTACTCTCAACTTTCAACACCTCAGTCTAGCCACTTTGTTTTTCCTTGTTGCACTGTCATTTTCAGCTCTCTCCAACTCATAAGCTTTCTCAGCTACTAGTTTTGCATAGGATACCACAACAGTGTCAATGCATTTGTCTGTCAACTGGGTTAAGAGTGTTGATCTGCAAAATCCTGATACAGTCTTCATCCTTGATGTATTTCCTAAGCACCTCTCTATCCACCCACACCATATTCTTGTTGGGTTCTATTAGGAACGTCGTATTTTATGCAATTCACAGATCTTAATGTCTATGAAAGATTAAGCTTAAGCGCAGCAGACTAGAGTTAAACCGGATATTCACAGCTTAATAATCGTAGGCTCTGTGACGTTTGTGATTTTCGTTGATGGAGATCGTCTGATCGCTCGTCAACCGTCGGAATAAAAAACAGGTCGTCGGAGGGAGAAAATCGCCGATCGGAGCACATCGGGACGTTGGACGATGATCACGGTGGAGGTCGGCGGCTTGGGTCGCGGCAGCACGGCGGTCGCAAACAACGGGTTACGGGTCTGGGTCGCAGGGACATCAAGACATCACGGGTCGCGAGGCTCGGTTTACCTCGGGACTTCTATTGTATTACTTCTACACATTTTGTTTGTTTTTTGTGGCTAACTCACAAAGCTCTTAAGTATTATTTTCACCACCATAACATGTGTATTTATAGGCTACAATAAGGACCTTAAAGAGGTTCCAAATATGAGCGTACCAAATATGGGCACAATTGTGGGCCAAGCCCGCTATGCTCATCTTTAGCAATTTCATGCTAACTTAGTGCAAGATGGTAAACAGATCGTTTATTTGAACTTCTGCAGTGCACTAAAGAAAAACCGTTGATCTCTACCTTTTGCTTCTGAATTATAATTCGAGTCTTCGATAATAACTACTAAATTTATCTCCCCATGTTTAAGATATAATAATGTTCGTCAATAAATTAATTATTGATAATATATTACTTGACTTCTTGTGCCGAGACTAGTACCACTCAATGTTTTATTATTATGTCGAAATTTAATCCACATGCAGGGTTTAACATAATTATCCTTCTTGAGCTCATCTCGGGACATCATCAGACTATCGCACATGGTGACCGTAAATAATCAAACACACCATACACACAGCATCACTACTCAAAACACGTCAGACTATTGACTCAGCAGAATGAGTCTCACTTTTTAGTGAATCAAAGTAGCAACTACTGTATGTTTTATTTTACGTCAAACTGTTGACGCATCAGAATAAGTCTCACTTTTTAAGGTCATATTTTCCTGTTTATTTATGTCTGTTGCTTTAGGTACTGTGAATTTAATATGATCTTTTAGTTTTTTCTGCAATATCCAAAATAAGCCTTTCATAGAGTGAACTTGGGGCAAATGGTTGTCAACCTCCCCTCAGCGTAGGCGATAACAAAGGTGTTTTAGTCAACGAGCATGTAGAACATCCAAATGTACATGTCCTATCTGCAGATAATCAAAGATGTGGGTATTGTCCATCCTAATTGCCTATTTCTACTCTTCATCAAATTTCGTCCGTCTGTTTGCAACTGCACTTTTTTTTTTTTAACGACTGTATATGTTGGTTATCTATTGCTTATTCGTAATACTCCTTTGTTGGTATTAGTTAGACCAATGATATTTCTGTTATTTTTGGCGGGAATCCCACTCGAACAAAACTATAAGTGAGGTTAGTGGGACCAGAAGGAAGCCTTTGTGGCCAAAGGGTACAGAACGAGCAAGGCACGAGATAATTCGTGGCCCACAAGTGCCTTTGTTTTCATGATTGCTCCATATCAATATTGGAGAGGTCTAAAGAAAGTAAAGTTAAAACAGTTTTATTTGTTGGCCATTAACAGTTGAATGGTTTTGCTAGGCGATGAAAGATTATCAAACAGTTTTTTGCTTCATCCCATAACGCACACATAATATGCAAATCTTTGTGATTTTTAGTTTATAAATATATATATTAAGTTTCAATGATACACAATTTTTACATGGTTATAGACTTTATTGGCCTCGGTTGTGCGTACATTTAATTGATGCCAATTTAAACTTGATCAATTGACTAAATTTGGATTGCACAACCAAATGCCAACTAGTTTTCATATATAAGGCACACAAGTGAATGAATAAAAAATAAATATGTTTCACAATTGTTCTCTCTTGTTCCCACTCTCCCTTTTTCCTCCACACCTTTTTCTCTTTCTCTATATATTTATTTTCCTCTTTTATTTGCTAACTAGTTATTATGGTACAATGGTTATTCGAGTAACCAAAAGGGAAAATGTTGCTTGAAGTTGCCACTCCTAAGAAATGTCAAGCGCTAGCTTGAGGAATGATTTCAGCCTAACCCTGTGGGTTTTAGAGGATCCATACACATCAACACAAGTGAGTGAGTGTGTGTGTGTGTGTGTATGTGTAATAATGAGAAATCGGACAGCTAAAACCCAAAATAGCACTATCAGAAACAGTAATTTGATGATAACAAACTTCCTGATCGAGTTTTAATAGCGCCTGCAGTCAAACCAAAAGCAATAAACCGTCTGCGGAACTACTACTTCATGGAAAGCATAACTCTCGAGAAACAATCATCCCTCTTCACAGGCATGTTTAGTTACAAGGCACTACTGATGGAAAAACATGATGTCAAACCAATAGTAACAAGCAGCATCCCCACAAATCTTTCAGTAGTCTTATAGACCCCTGCAAGTAGATAAATCATATTAGCTAAGAAAAGACACCAACGTAGGAATAGGCATAACGGTAACAGAGCAATTAAAAAAAAACACTCAATACATACACACACAGACGTGTATATATAGAATGCCAACAAACTAAAACATGTGCCAGGCAAGAATATCATGCCACAAAAAAAAAAAAAAAATGAACTAACCTATATAGGGAGTTGGATAAAATGAAACAATAGCAGAACAAAGAGTTTCATGTTTTAGCTTTGCAGTTATAAGATATGGATGCATAAACACAACTTGAAAAGAAATCCAGGACATTATCGTGAGTGACAAGAGTTAAGATTTATCATGCCATCCATTTGGAGTAAGCCTACTTCCAATACCTTAGATGCCTTTAAGGGAAGAGAAAACAACTACTGAAAAAATAAAGTAATCTTTCATCACAAATTATTTGTCTTAAGATGTGACGTCAAAGGACATAACCTCCTCTAATCCAAAAGTGTTACCCACAAAAAAAAAATCAGCACACGTAACAAGTGAATCAAACCAAAGCACCGAAGTGAAGGAAGCAGTTTCATCAGTCAAATATTCAATCAATAATGAAACAATATATGGATGATTGTAGCCACCCCAAGTTGCTCGACAGGGGAGATTGTTCATCATCCACGAGCTGTAGGACACTCAACAATCACAAATAATTTCCTCAGTATTTGTGCACACCATGTTTGTCCTTTTATTCCATGTTTTGAAAAGGAAATCAGAAGCGGATACTCAAGCATCTATCATTACAGAAAATTTATTCAGTTTTATAAATAGACAAGTACAAGCTGGATATTTATTAATCACAGTAATCACTGCCAAACAGAGGCTAAATAAGCTCCTTCAATATGCATAACAAACACTTGCAAGACATTCCTTTCATTTTCTTTTCAAGTTCATAAGAATAGATGTTCCCAAAACACATATATAATCAACATAACTCAGTTATGAGAGATGAAGAGTAGGTACCAATGATCAATTCAAAATTTGACAACATAATGTCATCCTAAATCACTGCCGAGCAATCAAATTCTCATTCTTATAATAATTCCCAAATTTCACATATGCAACAAAACAGTAAAAGAACACAGAAATATCGTCTTTAAGAAAACTCAACTCATTCAATCACAAGACACTGTACTGAACAAAAGAACAAAATGAAATAGTCTCAATCGGGTGCAACACAATGCTTCGTGTAACAAAAGCCTACTTCAAGTTCCGTGATACTTGCCAAATGATCAACTAAAATGACATCATATGACAATGAGTAATCGATCAATCACTGTCACATTTCAGAATGCAACGGTTTTAACAAACAACAAATTGCTATTAAAAAAAAAGGTTTTTAATTTACTCACCTGACTTTCTGTACGAGAATCATTTTGAGCTTGCGGGCGAGGTCCTGTGCACGAATCTTGCGCTCCAAATTCTTCTTGGCCAAAACTCGCTTCTCGGAGTTCTTAATGTGGCAAGTCTGTTCATTCCTAATCATGCGCTCGATGCCACTCGATTGCATCTTCCTTTGCATTAAAGCCAATGCTTGATCTAAATTGTTGTTCCGAACCTTAACTCGGATGCCTCGAGATTGCTGCAGCTGATAACTCAGGGAGTCAGAAGCCAACAAGGAGACCACGCGCTTTGCTGCCGTTTGAATCATATTCTCCTATAGAATCTAACACTCAACGGCAATACCTAATTACTCAAGAATTAAATCATACATCCAGCGCATCCATCAAGATTCATGCAACCAGCATTAAGGTAAGCAACATTTCAGCAAACCACAGAAAAATAAATATATAAAGGCTATTATCAATTTAGGCCCCTTAGAATTTCATCCCCTAAACGGCCAAATTACATAAACTAGGAACACACAAAATAAATAAAGAAAAATCGAGTAGATAAAATACCTAGTAGTAGGGTCGACTGATGACGTCGACGAGGCGGGTACCTGGTACTCAGGTTGATGGCGGGTGCGGCAGTGGTGGTGGTGCCGAGGTTTGGAATTCAGTGAGGTGATTGAGGCGATCGGAGGTACCGGATGACGATAACGTCGTCGGCGCTGCTGACGATTGTGAAGTGTACGAACGCGGCAACCAACGGGAAGTAGGATTTTCAATTAAGGCGGGGACGATGCTATAAGAAAAGCTCTTCAATCGAGGCGAGGAAGAGGCAGCGAGAGGTGAAGAGGTCGTAGACGGTGATGGCTGCGGAGAAGTGGCAGTCGGACGGCGGCGACGACGTGATATGTTGTGGGGGGCAGGTGATGTGCAGTTGCAGCAGGCGGCTTTGATATATCCTGGGGGCGAGTGAGATTGTAGGGTTTGGAGAGAGAGGAGTGGGTGGGGATTGGGGCCACCTGATGTGTGATGAGAGAGTAGGGGTGGTGGGGTCAACGCAATTTAATGGAAAGAAAAATGTCCACTGCACCCTTCATTTTTATTTTTTTATATTAATAAAAAAACCGCACAAAATGTACTATTCCAAAGCATTCAAGAAAAATTATTCGAAAGCTGAATAGTACCATCAAAGGCTAAAAAGACTGTGAGATTTATCCGAAGATCGTCTAGAGCCTGTTCGAAACGCTACAAAGAAAAACTCGCAACTACACAAAAGCAACTACCACGAACAAACTAAAACAACTAAAAAGATCTCAACGGGATAATTTCCGAGTGTGGGATCCCAACAAAATAATAAGTTCAGACTCGGGCTCATATGGGTCAATGAGCCAAACCAAAAAAAACACAAGAACTAAACAAACAACCAAAACAAAAACAAAGATACTACAATTAATAATAGCCCTCCACAGCAAATCTACCGAACGAACAGTCGACCCGTATGAGAATCCTCAGCCCGAGAAATCGACGAAACTGCCGAAAAGCCTATCTGAAGTAGAAATCCTGGCCCCAGACCAAACCTGTGAGCAGACCCTCCCCTTCGCAGAAGCATAAGAAACCCAAATCACACCCCACAACACCAATGTCCCGAAACCGGCTAACACCACTAGCCAAACACGGGAGCACCGGTCTCCCTCGGCCCAACACCAGAGTCACAGAGGAAAGGGGTTGAAAGGGCACCTCAGCCCGCACGATGGACCAGCTGCCACACGGCCATCAACATTAGAGAAGAACGCAGCCCCAGAAGACGACTCCCGAAACTGCCAACAAAGGACTACCGGAAACCCCACGGCCGGAAGAGAAGCAAAATCCACCACCCCACCTCCGTCAGCGCGAGCTCGACTAACACCACTAGCCGAAATCAACCGAGCAGAGGCCCCCTGAACCCAAGCCAGTGGATAATCCTTATTCCTTTTTTTGCTGTTGAATTATGCGATCTGATAGTCAGGATGTATTCTTAATTTTCTTCCCTCATTATTATATTTTTAAACATCTTCAAATTTGTAACATTTAATAATTCAGAATATAATTTGTATGAGTGTAATATNATTTTATATTTATTTTATGTTCTTGCTTAGTTTATATATATTTTTTTTATAAAATAACTATTTTATGACATGTTAATATAATAAATTTCTATTGATTAATAAAATAATTTATTGTTTTATTTGATTTTTTTAATTTAGTTTGAAAAATTAATTTAAATTTTATTTATAAAGATATATATCTCTATTTTGTGTTTTATATATGTAATAACTAATATGCATGCTTAGGAAGATACAAACAAAGAAGTTATAATATTTTACAAAATAAGAACACGGATTTATAAATTAATGTATGAACGAAATAAGAAAAACAAATGTAATATATGGTAAAGTAGGAAAAAAAAAGGTAAAATAGTTTATGATTACTAATTGTAAAAGAACAGAAAGAAGAAACCAATAACAAATTAATTTGAGTAATATAGATATTTAATACAATCCAAACATAATTATTTTTGCATAAAAATATTAATTTATATCTAACCCTGACTACAAAGCATGATTTTTTGCCACATATCATTTTAAAATATACGAGTCTGCAACTTAAAACAGTCATCATCATTCATTTAATTAATAACAACACTCTCTTTCTTACACATCATCTCCGTATCATCATTTTCTCAAACATAAGTCATTCAAACACAACTTTACATTTGTTTAAACATTCATAGCTCTTACGGATGGGTCACACTCACACCCATTACTTCAGTATATCATAACTTCAATATTTTATTACCTTATATTTCACACTGAGGCCTTATTTGTGTGATTAAATGTCATACATAACATTGAATGAACGGTTGGATAGTACCACTGGTATTAATGATGAATTGGCATATAAATGCACTCAATTGAACGCCAATGCGGATGTTCTTAGGCCCAACACATTCGAAATTATATACAAGATGAATACTTTAATTTATAAGATTTATAGTCTGGAAGGAAAAGCATGTCATTCACTATGTCTGTCTTGAGAGGATGAACAAAATAATGAATAAAAATAAGGCAAAAAACAATTAAGCTTTAAGGGCGAGTGATACGGGAAAGAAGCTACGAGAAACTTTGACACTAATCACTCATTCAATTGTCAATATTGCATACCCAAGTATGCTAGAATAATTGCGGATTACAAGTCCTAGAAGCTAATAGGGCACGGCCAGTTTGTATTATTGAGTACAGATCAATGAACATAAAAAAAAAATTGATTTTCTGTTATGACAAAACTTCATGACACCTCCCATGTTGTAAACCAATAACAAATGTATTGTTAAATGAATGGAACAAATTTATTTTAAGTCAACTCTTACAATTCTTGAGACTCTTTGAATCACGCTGGCCGATGAAATTTTTGCATGCACTCTTCTGATGAGAAGAGTCGAGATACAGATGCCAACTGCATGTACGCCAATCATCAGAGTCCATTTTCTTCTCTCATCGAGATTAAAGAACGTATGATTCAAGTTCTGAACATGTTAGGCGATACCTGGAAAGAAGTAAGCAAAGATAATAAGAGAAGAGAGGGTACAATTGCATATGCATAGCGAAAGGTCTACTACCAAAGTGTCAGTTAGATGTATGAGATCCTGAATTTTTTATTTTAAATTTTCTTTTCATTTTTCTTTTTTAGATTTTAGGATTTAGTTTAGTAATCTTNAAAAAAAAAAAAAAAGATACTACCTTCACATGGTGTGGCATGATTTTAATATCGTAAGGCACGTGCAGCCAAGCTTCAGGTGGATAGAACATGAAGTTTTCGGGTTTGCTTGTGTAGACATCGGCATAGTGGTGAATGTGGTATGCGAATGCAGACTCCTGGCCAGTGTCCGTAAGAAATGTGGCCCCAAACGACTTGTTGAACATCCCTTTCATTGTGGCACGTGCTTTCTGCCTCTCGTCATTGAGCTCACAAAGAATTGACTTGTACTCGTGGCTCGTGTTGCTGTTGGAAACAGTTGAATGGAGTTTGCCAAGAAGTTCTTGTATCACGTGGAACTTTGCCTGCCGGAAGAATTTGCGAGGAAAGGAAAGAAGGGCGTAAATGAGCAAAAAGTCAATGTTGACTAATTATTTGCAGGTAAAATCACATAAAAATAAATAAATAAATAAATAAATAAATAATGTGGTGAAGTTACATGTATGCACACATATATGTTAATGTATATATTTTAACAATAAGCAGAACCCATATGTATATATCTACACATCATTTCCAGTTTCTGAAATCTGACTGACTCGATAATGACAAATGGAAATGCCATAATTCTAAAAGGGTTACCTGTTCTCTGCGATAACTATCTTCATTCTGAATTTGTATTTCATTCTGAAACAAGCGAAAAACAAATTAAATAAATTCACTACTTTACCGCTTAAGAAAGACAATCATAAAGTATAAAAGACATAAAAGTGGAGAATGTATGGCATAGTCTGGATTAAAGAATTAGCAAAACTTGTTGGCTGATTCTTCTAACACAACTTCACACTCATAATTTGCACTTATGGAACAACTTTTGAAAGTAGATTTCAACATATATATACTCTGATAGAAAAGTTTTCTTTATAAGTCTAGAATTTTAAATCATTATGCAACAGTAAACAAATTAACTACCACCCAAGATGAAAGAGAAAACATGAAGATTTTTTCATTTTTTACGGTAATGAAGCTCCGTTTTGTCAGGGCACACATTACAATCACTGATGGTAGTTTAATAGAAAAGAAAAGTAATTTTGCTTCAGGTATGCTGTAGTGCGTGCACACATAACAATCACTTAGATTATTTAAGTTTCACTTGGTAAAAGAAAAGGAAAATTGCTTCAGATACTCCGTAATAAGATATAGTTACATTAAGCAAATTCAGACCTCCAATTCATGAATGATGGCAGCCGTACGCCACCCAGCTTTTGAAGGCCCCCTAAGGTCACTAAAGAGGTGGTCCCCAAAGTATATCACCTAAAGTTGTTTATGAAACTGTCATTAACAACGAAACATGAAAATAAACAAGATCACAACTTTGACGGCATAGTTTCAGGGCTATCCCATAATGGTACTGTTGAAATGCACGATTTGCAAAAAAAGCTTTGCAACTGTTTAAACACCACCCTCTTGTCCGGCAATATTAGCAAACTAGTCCTACAAAAGAAAAAACTCTCAATTTTGGCCTACTTTGACCAGAAACTGGAAACTGCATGTGTAGTTCTAGTGACTGACATTTGACAAAGTAACGACCAAAATTCAGATTTTCCAAGTCAGAGAACCGCTTTGCAAATTGCACATTTTAACTTTATCAAACACAAACCAATTATATAATCAGAAGATTTTATGCCCAACAGTTTTGTAGGATTACTCAGTTAAGCAGAAAAGACTGATTTTGCAATTGTACTAACATAAATTCCAATAAGTAGACAGAGATTACATAATACTACGATTTTTCTAAAAAAAATAAAATATATTGTACATAATTAAGCAACAGTGCAACTGAATTTCAGGAAAGCGTGCCATGCAGAAAGTACCTCAGGACCCTTCCACTTAGTTATTTGCAAGAAAGTCTTCAGGCATCCTTGGTAGTAAATATTGTTAGGAAAAAAAGCATCCACCTTAGAGTAAGCCAAAGTGTCTTTTTCCACATCATAACAGCTGCATGCAAGTTCAAAAGTGATAAAAGGAGGCATATAGAAAGAAATTTAATATGTAAATGTAAGTTCCTCAAGAAGTGCAAAACAAGATGGAAAATGAATAAAAAAAACTCTTGTAGAAACCATTTTGGCCCATAGGTCTGGAATATAAATGGATTGTATACAATAGTCAACAGAGGCAGGTCTAAATTCAAAAAATATATACAAAAAAGTATTTTCTTTTTTAAAAAAATATATAACGAACAATATATATTCATGTTTATACAGAATCAGAGATCCTCACAGAATTTTAACTATGGAGCTGATAACTGATTAACATCTATTTCTGATAGAATTTTTGCATTAGAAATAACCATGAATTATTCACTTAACCTATGTTCATTGACTTGTACAAATTGTTGAGATGACATCATCTACCAAGCATAAAACAAGCACCTCGTTAACTCCATATCTTCAAATGTTAACAATAAAAATATTGAACGAAATGATACATAATGAAAAACAACACAAGTGGCATACAGTAAAAGAATATGTAAAAGTGGATAACATTGCAAGAAAAAAGAAGATTACCGGAATGGGTGCTCGGATGTATAGAATTCTGGTTTGTTTGCTTTAGCAATTACGACATCAAATAGTTCCCTCCAGCAGTCTTGGTGGCCTAGTGCGTCCTGCTTTTCAAAGGACACAAGGTGCTTGGTTGATGTCTACTTTTAGTATTTCTTAAATTTTTAGCACTCTTTTACATTACATGAAGAAGCTAAACTGATATGCATTCGCAAAGCTAATATGATGCTTTAATGATGATATTTCCCCATAAAATAACCAGAATTATGAAGTCAACATGAATGGTCTGGACACTGAAGTCATAACCATAAGGCATAAGGCACCATGCTCGTTAGGTTGTATGCTTCGGAAGGTGAACCCATAATAAATTTCACATGCAATCAGATGAATAGGCTCAACAAATGAAAACTAGCAATAGAACCATTGTCTAGAGATTTTCTTAACTATAATATTGACGGATCATGTTATAGAATGATGCTGATCATATCACAGCAAACGTGAAGTATAAAAATTCTCATCAACAAACTAACAAATCTATAAAAGACATGACTCGAGTATAGATGAAATTGTAAAGCATAACTTGAAGGGAAATTAAAGAGACTGTAATCTCGATGCAAGAATAAAAAAGGTAGATATCAATGCACAAGCAGGGGACTGGAAAGTTAATTTCAAACTTTTGACTGCGGAAAGAAGGTTTTTTTAAAATTTCAGTAATAAGAAAAGGACCACATATTCTGGTTTTGGTACTGGAACCAAAAGGTGGATCTGGTATTACTAAGAATGAATCGTAAAAGAAAAATATGAGAGCGACAGCGAAAGAAAGCTAACAAAACAGATACCCTAGCAACAGTCACAATTCATCAATATTTAGGAAGTCTTGTAAATCTAACAATTTTCACTCTAGCAAGTAGTAGCAACAATAATGGAAACAGTGCCTGCAGCCAACAACTATCTTTCAGTGGGTCTCATCATGGAAAAAATTTTGAAAATCTTAGGAGAAAAAACAAATCAACAGTAACTACCCTCCCTTAATTCAGGAAACTACAAATTCTTATACACTTTAAGAAAATTAATCAACAGTTACCTATACCCATCACCCTCTAGAGAGCATAAAATATTCACAAATAGTAAACCTGAAGAAAAGAAGGATTATCCATATTATGGTATCATCCAACATGATACTGACCTCCAACATGAAATTCATTCCTCCATCAACAAAATAGTAAGGAGAGTTTGTCAACAAGAAGAGTTTCTTCCCATTCTCTTTAAGCATCCTAAGGAAGCGAAGTAGCTGTCCCTGGAGTAACACAAACCAACAGCCTGGTCAACTGCTCAAAGTTTTAATTTAAGATTTATCAAAATTATAATAAGAAACATAACTAGCAAACAAGTTCGTACATTCTTTACTAAGTACTTCTTCGGATCAGATAGAATCCCACGATGAGCTAAACCACTTCGATGCACGTACTGAATTGCTCGATTCACGTCTTGATAAACATAAGATGCATCAAATTCCAGTTTGGCATCAATAAAATGTTGAATAATATCCGCAATAAGGCACGCCTGCCAAATAATTAACATCAGAAAAAACTCAAACAACCTTGCTCATCAAGGAAACATCTAAATGAGGAGAGATACCTACAGTTCCCATAAGTTTTCAATGGCATTGGAATATTGAAACTGCCATTTAGCAGGACAGATAAACTGGTGAAGAGTATACTTAAGTGTATATCGTAAACTTTAAAAACCATCCACCTTTTTCAGTGGCAACCTAATTTTTTTCATTATAGACCTACATAACAATTTTAACCATTAATTTTACTAGAATCGTATGAAGCCTACTCAAAGGTGTCCGAAAACATGTCAGAAATGTATTCTAAGAAAGAAAGTAGAATATTTAACTCTGACAACTTGCGGCAAGTTTCATGACCAATATACTCAACAGAGTTTAACCTAAACATTTAGCGCAAACATGCAAATAGGAATTGTGTACTTGGCAGCTATTGCAGCATCAAAAAACATAGAAAAACTCTTTCGCAAGATCAATAAAGAAGGTCGAGCCAATAATAATAAATCCTGTATATGGATGCTTATGAAATATACGAGAACTTATTGTAGTATGTAATAATTCCCAAATGTGTAAGTTTAAGCAGCCCTTCATGATAAACTAGGCCACAATACTATGAAACATTCAAATAATAATAATGTAGAAACGACACAGGAAAGATAGAACTGTAAGCGTTATGTTCTGAATTGAACAAACCTCACTGAAGCAAAAGAAATCCATCAAACCCACTAGCCCTCGAGCTTGATCACGACCAATATGCCGTGTGCCATACAAGTCGTTGATTTCTGATCGACTGAGCTGCATTTTCATAAGAAATTATTAGTACTGGTAAGCACCTTTAATCGAGCACACTTACTACCGTGGCATTTAACTTCACCATTCAATGTGGTACCAACGATTAACCACCGCACTGTTAAATTCTGAGTTTTTGCAGTCAGAATCTTCCCAGTTTCTAGAATAATATGACAAGACATAGAATCATTTTCATTTAAGTTCTTTTTGTCTTTAATTATTATTAGTATTATAGACAGATCTTTTGAGGCAAGAAACTGCATAAACTGTTCACTCCGTCATATTATCTTGAGTAATCTTCCACAAATTCAAGTATATAGTATGGTATTAATTATATGTTAGTACCAGATAATATACCATTTTGCTCCTTCTTGTAGTATACTTAATGTATAGCTCTCTGAGAATATAATCATTCATTCATCTACTAGTAACTCTTATTTTTCCCTAACGTTGTAAAGCTATCATTCCTGAAAATCTTCGGCAGATAAAGAGAAAAGAAATATAAGAACCCATAGTAAAATATTATAAAATATTAAAAAAAAAGAAAAAGGAGAGAGAGATGCATATACCTTTCGCCTTCCAAAATAGCATCCATCAGGCTCAATTGATCCAAAGAAATCCAGCTTCAATAGACATCCTTTTAACTTGTCATAATACAAACCTCTAATTGGAAATGAATTATCGTACTTAAATTCCACGCAACTATCGGGATATCTAAGCTGAAAGGCCCACAAAAAGAAAAAAAAAATAATAGTAAAAAATATTATTTGAATCTATCAACACACTAAAATTTTCTCCACATAACATTGTTCACATACCTCATTAACCAAATACTCTTTGGCCAGATCATATATTAAGCTTTGCAAATCGGCAGAGTAGTGTGCCAATGTGTAGTCATAGTCAAATCCGTACACTTGTATATTGTCCAATCTCAAGTTCTTATTCACATATATGCCTATAACGAATAAATAACAATTATCACCGATAGCTGGAATGGACTTTTAGAACAAAATTAAACAGAGCTTGAATGATCTTCACCTTTAGGATCTATTTTGGGAATCCCGTGCAATGTGTCTGGTGTTTTGAGAAACCTCTCCTTCAAAAAATTAAATGCGTGCCGAATCTTGGCAATTTCATCCTCTACTTCGTGGTTTCCTTCCTCTTCCAATTTCAGCGTTTTTTGTTCCGTAGTGATAACAGAGCTAAATTTACGTCTAATATTTTTCTCAATCCCTATGATTCCAAAAGTATATATACATATACAAAACAAAAAGAAGGGCAAAATCGAACGGGTGTACGCACACATGCACACGCATAAGCATAGAGCACATCCCAACAAGAAAATCCAACAGGCCACGATTGACACTAAATATGAGGAATCAGAAGGCTGAATAAGCGTCTTACTACGTTTCAATTACTTATTAGAAAATGCACAAGATTCATGGATACTTTTATATTTCACACTTTTTTAGTTACAAGTACTCAGATATATATATTTCAAATACAATTAAACACACAGTGAGGGTTTAAAAGGACCTTCAACAATTCCAGAATGTGCAACGTTCATGCTCTGCAACTGTAGATTAGGGAAATAGTAATATAGTTAATAAAATGAAAGACATATCACAAGCTAATTTACATCAAAATACAAAATTATGAGAAGAAGAGGACAGAATAACCAATCAAAAGCGAACCACTACCTAGTAATTTGCACACACATAAAAAACAAAAACAGTACTTCACTTATTCTCTAATCCATAAATGTGATAAATGAATATGCCTGAGCTGTACATAGACGATCAGGAAGCGAAAACCATATGTAACTGAATTCAAAAACCGTACAAAGGCAGATGAATTACCGGGGGATAACCAGCCCACAAGAACCTACGCGGAAAAGAACCCATTTGTAACAAAATTGGACGTTCTGCGTACGTCAATTACAAAATTTGAACTCCGAATTCTTGAAACTATAAATTTCTCCTCATCTGGTTAACGTTGTTGATATGCTAAATTAGGGTTCTCAAGTTGACAAGTTGGCATGGGAATTTGTTGGCCGAGTGAATGGCAGCAACAAAAATGGCGTGGAGAACACATGCGGAGCCGCCAATTTTAAAGAGGAAAAACGCTAGAAGCTTGTCAATTTTGTAGAGATTGATATTAACAAAATGATCCGTTTAATTGGAATTATTACAATTTTTTCAAAGGTATTGCTAAATACTGCACCTATTTTGTTAAATACCGCACATTGACACTTTTGTCCTTTAAAAAAAATCTGAAATTTATAAAAACTGACGTCCCCCACCCCACCCCCTCCTTCATTGAACATTCAACATCATCTTCCACATAAAAAAAAAAAAAAAATAAATAAAATAAAATAAAATAAATATATAGAGAAAAATCTAGTTTGCGGTTCCTTCTACGCCCTCGCTCGACTTATCTAACTAATTTTGACATCAAGTTTCACTGTCTTCTGATAAATTTTACCCCTTTCTAATGAGAAATCAAATGTGTATTTGTAGTCCAGAGTGAATCTAAGCATGACTTTCTCTTTCTTTCAGAACCTCTAGCTCTTTCTATTGATTACTACTCATGTCAGAACAATAATTATAGAGTTATATAATTTATAATAATTATAGTAATTATTAATACAATATTTTTATAGTAATATAATAGTTAGAATTGTACTAGTATTTATACTAATTACTATATTAGTATATATTAGTGTATAAAAAATTATATTAGTAATTAGTGTAATTACTATAAATTATAATACAAAAACTTATATTAGTATAAATTATTAAGTTAGTATATATTATATATTTTATAATAGTAATTCGTATGATTATTATAACTTATAATAGTAATTACTAATATATAATATAATTATACTAATATAACTAATATAATTTTTTATAAGTAATATAATTCATTATGATTATACTAATTACAAATATATTTTTTTTATTCTACTAACATAGTAATTAGTATAGTTTACTAGTATTATTGTATTAATTATTATAATAACATCTTAATTAGAATTGATTATCTTAAAAAATAAAATTTATTGATATTATGCTAAAAGTTATAATTGATTATTTTGTAAAATTATTAACATACATCGTAATATATTGCAGACGCCGGTCGAAGATTTTGGAGGAGACGGTCTTGATTACCGACCTTGTTTCACAACAACTAATCTATTTGATAGTATTGACGAAACTATTGAATGGACAAAAGATATTGCAATCATATGGGGTTTCTCATTGGTCATCTCGAGACACGAAAAAGAAGGAAAGAATAGGTTGTTGAGGTGTGATCGGGGGAACGTTACAGAAGCCGTGTAGGAAAGGTAGTTAATGCTATTATGAGAAAATCGAAAACTAAATCGACCAACTGCCTTTTTCAGTTAAGAGTCAAATTTGATTCTCAATCAAAAAGATGGTATATCTCGGTTCCTTTAGATGATGAGAAGGGAAAGCATAATCATGCATTGGCTGTTAATCCCGAGGGTCATCGACAGATGAGCGGGCTTAGCGATCCGTCCAAAAAGATTGTCCGTGATATGACTTCTGCTCAGGCAAGACCAGCAGCAATTTAGGTTGTGATTCAGGAGCAAAACCCTGTAGACAACGCTACTTGTAAACAAGTGTACAACTATAGATATAAAGTGCGGAAAGATAATTTGCAGGGTAGAGATGTGGCTGACCAACTTCTTAATTTGGCTAAGGCCAACAACTATATACATTACGTAGATGTTGATCCAGACACACAGGCGTTGACATGTGTCTTCATGTTGCATCCTCAATCAGTCAGTCCGTTCCGGACATATTACTGGTATGTCGGTATAGACTCCACGTACAAAACCAACAGGTATGTTATGTTACTTTATAAATACCAATTTAATGTGAATAATAATTAGTATGTTTGAATACGTTTTTTGCTTCTATGTTGCTTTCATTTTTACAGGTACAAGATGTCATTGGTGGAAATGATTGGAATGACGCCGTGCAACAAGAACTTCTTAATTGCCTATGCAATTATCAAGGACGAGACCGAGTACAACTATAACTGGGTCCTACAGCAGTTGAGACTTCTGTTACCTCCTGATGTACATTCTACAGCCATTGTCACTAACAGGGAGTTGGGTTTGATTACTCCTATTCAGATGAATTTCTCTCAGTCGGTCCACTTATTTTGCACGTGGCACATCAACAAGGATGTGGAAGACAGGGTGTATCGACTAGCAAAAAATAATAAGCTCTTCACTCAGAAGTTCATGCACGGCAAGTGGAAGAAGGTTGTCGAGGCGAGCACGTTGGAGAAATACCAAACTGCCATAGATGATTTGAAGGCTACATACGTACAATTTACTGAGGTGCTACGCTATTTGGAGCAGACATGGTTAGTCCGCAAGGAGAAGTTTGTGAAAGTGTGGACGAACACTTTTTTACATTTCGGCAACACAACGTCGTGTAGGGTGGAGAGTGCCCACGCTACGTTGAAGCGGTGGTTGAACAGTCGACCTGTTCGCTCGACACGGTGTGGGAGATGATTCACAAGGAGGTTGAGTCTCAAATTACTCAAGTCAGGTATATTTTTTAGGTTATACATATTTACTGTGTTATTATTACGTTATTTATTTGGTTCTAATGTTATGTAATGTATTACCAGGATCACGCTGGAGTCTTGGAGACTTAACATGCATACGGGTTACAAGGAACCCATTTTCGCGCCATTGAGATTGTGGGTCTCGCATTACTGTATGGATTTATTGAATTATGAGCTTAAGAGGATGCGAGAGTTGAGTGATGAAGTTGCCGATCGCTGCAGATGTGTACTCTGGTACACTCATGGACTTCCTTGTGCCTGTGAGCTAAGGAAGGCACTCACTATAGATATGAAAATTACTATCCAATTCATCCACAGGTTCTGGTGCACACTAGAGCTGACGGACCCAGGTACAATTACGAGATTGATTAATTTATAGAACTTATCCTAACACTATGTACAGAATATAGAGTGTGTTGTTTAATTTTCTAAATTATTTTTGCAGACAGGTCAACAGAGTGCATCGGCGAGCGGATGGACTGATCGTGACTATTTTTATCGGCTTGCCGCGGAGCTTGAAGCGGCCGATCCCGCGACGCTGCGGTACGTGAATCAGTTCATCGACTCTCAACTTCACCCCGACCAACAAGGTTACAAAGAACCTGCAGTGAAGGATAATCCGAGAGGTCCGCCCAAGAAGCCCAATTCGACAAAGCGTGATTTATCGAAATGGGAGTACAGTCAAAGACGCCGTAAAAGCACTTCCTCGTGTGCTCCATCGCAATCGGAGTACACCAAAACAGGTCGCCGGGTGAGGCGTAAAAGCACTTCTTCGTGTGCTCCATCGGTATGGGATTACAGGGAAAGAGGTCGTCTGGTGGGGCGTAACAACAGTTCTTCATGTGCACCGACAAGCTCGTCTTCTCAACATTCAGATGAGCCGACAGGTGATTTTTTTTTCTTATTTATTTGTTTATCTGAACGATAAATAATTATGTTTGTAAGTTCGATTATCTAATTTGTGACGTGAAATTATTATGATATTACAGATACTTTCTCGACGATCTTCTACGAATATCCGCATTATTGGAGAATTCCCTACGTAATTCACCCTTACGTAGAGAGCTATCTGGATGTGACGCCGGATGGGAACTGCGGATTTCGGGTGGTTGCGAGTTACATGTATAGGAACCAGAGGAGGTGGCCAGTGGTAAGAAGGAACATTGCAAATGAGATTGTAGGCAACAGACAGTTGTACGATCCTATGTTTTACCATGAAATCGACAGAGCACTCGATCGGATAAGATGGGACGGGGGGCCTTGTGGCGAGGAGCATTGGATGGAAGTTGTAGGCGATTTTTTTGCTATTGCTATACTATTTAATGTAGTTGTCGTGTTGTTAGGTAGTGGTGACAGAAATGACGATATCGAATTCAATAGTATGACATTTTTGCCACTGCGCGCACCATCCACGGCTACAAGACTTGACCGCGAGATCGCCATAGTTCATCTTGGTTCTTACAAACACTTCATTCGTCTGAATCAGTTATTTGATTGTCTATTACCGCCTATGTGTAACCTTTGGCGGACATTCCGAGATGTGACGGTTGCAGGATGGGATGATCAGTATCAGACAAGGATCGAGTATTGGCGGCATATTCGTAGAGGACCTGGAGTTTGATATATTATGATATTCGACTTATGTTTGTTGCGATTGATGACATTCATTATATTAATCTGAATTATGAGCGATATATTGTGATATTTGGCCGTGTTTACTGTTTCACGTGATATTATGGAATTTTTGGGTTGGAATGTGATATAACATTTGAAAATAGATGAAAATAAAATGAAGTAACAATAAGTAAAATAAAAAAAAAATAAACAATTCAAATAACATTCAATCGTACAACAAAATCTAAAATAAAATATTAAAAAAAACATTTATTACATCAACGCTGCGCCCTTTCCCAATCCGCCTTAATTAGGGCAGCGTATCTGCATGACGCGCCGCCACAGCAGGATCAACAATCTTGCAATACCGCAGGAGGTCTGATGATGCGGAGAATAACCGATTCACCCACTACACATAAAAGCAGAAGTAAAAATATTATCACATATATATTAAAAAACGACTTATTATTTTAATGAAAGCACAATAACTAAAATTTCGTAAACGACTTACATAATCGGTGTTGGCGCGCGAAGGGACGGCATCGTCTTCCGGCAGACTGTCAGGCAAGAGTCTAGGATGAGAAAACTGATCATACCATTGCTGGTACTGCTCATGGGCCTCCCCTGGATCATCTGCGTTGGTCGGAGTACAATGAGTCAAGTTTACAGAATGCAGCTGCGGGAACTAGTCCCAGTGATCCACTGCAGTAATATCAGTATGCTCAACCCTGTACAACCTAGAGTTCCAGGCACGGACTGCCTTGAGCGGACGATCTATGTGGGGAGGGACATTCTGCATGTAGCCCAACTGACGCAACTAGCGCAGAGTCATGTACGGCTCCACAATATCCCGGTACCTAAGGCATCCAAAATAAAGTGTCCTAGGCTCAATGTCATGTGGCCGGCGGTCGTAGCGCAGCCAGTTCACCTGTTCACAATTGTATAAAAACATTTATTGAAACAATTCGATTATTTCAAATA